CATCTAGGGCAGCCCAGAGGCGCATAAAACCTCGACCAAGGATGAGGAGTCGGGTTCTGGTCACGACACAGTACGTTTATGAGGATGTATTGCAAAGCTGCACGATACAGTATTTAACAAAGTAACAGAACGCTGGCATGCAACCTGACGCGGAAGTCACAGAAGTCAACTCGGTCGCGCAGCTGCAAGCCATTATCGACCAGTTAGAATCTCGAATGAGAAAGCTTGAGTCCAGTGAGAAGAAGGTGCAGCTAGCTACTGATACACCTGTCACCCCTGATCCTCCAACAGAAGATGGAGACAAGAAAGCAACAGAGGGCTCTGAGTCAGATTCTGATGGGACAGTCAAGGTCAAGTATGAGACGATGAGACAGACCAGCACAGGAGGCTACGCGAAGGAAGATGGTCGACCTCCAGGAGAGGCTGATATGGAGAGGGAGGCAGCCTCTGGCGATGTCCTCACTTTTACGGCCTACAAATCTAAAGAGGGCAATCTTGAGAAAGTGATGATCAAGATTCACTCCATCATTTTACGAAATTTCATTAGAGAGATAATGCAACCCGTCCTTGAGCATGAAAATGTCAAGATATGGAAGGATGCGCAAGTCACGATTCAGACCAACAATGTTCTTGTCTTGCACGCTTGGGATGATTTGAAGGCTGCGGCAATATCAGATGATGGAACCCCTCAGGCTCGCGCGGAGCTTACCTGCTTTCTCGATAATATCGAGAAATATGAAGCGGAGACCATTGAAGCTCGAGAACTCGCCAAAAAAGAGCGACAAGTCACATATGCGAAGATGTGGACGTTGTTTCCCCTTGGTTCTGAAGTTGTTGCTTTCCCTTTCAAGGACAGTCCACAGATCTTCACGATCTATAGACATGGGCCTAAAGCAGATGGATTCTCCTTTCAATGCTGGGCTTACGACTGGGACGGCGAGAAGCTCGTTCGACATTCGTATGAGTTCGATGTTCCTTCTTTTCAGGGACTGAAGAAAGTCGAGGAGCTCCCTTGTTACCCGATCGACTTTTACAACAGTAACGGCGAGGGACCGCAGCAATTACGGAAGATGCTCTATGAGCGTGGCAAGAGGTTCAAGGAGTATTGTGCTATTCCTGGATCCGAGAGGCAGATACTCACTGCAAACGAGTTCACTCTGCTGAGAGATTCTTTTGACGGACCAAGAGTTACAAAATCCGAAGCATCAATTGCCCAGGCGATGACAGATGAGACAAGCAATAGTGGCGTTAGCGTCATTCTAGATCCGTTGCTTTACAAGCGCTATGCTCCCGGGGCTTGTCTTCACCTGGGCCATAAAACTCCCACCCCACGACGATCGTGTGAATGTCGCCTCTGTCTTATCAACGGAAAACGAAAGGAATGGGAAGACCACTTCAAGAGTACCAAAGGCGACCCTGAAGATCTTTCAACCGAAGATGCTGAGCTCAATGAGATATTCTACTCTCAGCTGCCTCCCAGAGTGCTCGGGTATGTGCTCGATCGCAAAGGTTGGGGCCAAATGCATGTGGACTCGATCAAGAAGGAGTCAAGTGTCGGTAAGGACAAGAGTTGGGAAGAACTCTCTCTTGAGAAGGAGCACAAGGAAAACATAAGAAACATGGTGTCGAAACACTTCGAGCGAGCAACTAGTGCGACTAACGACGGAAAAAGAATCCATGATCTCATCCCTGGGAAGGGAGATGGGCTTGTAATCTTGCTGCACGGTAATTAACACGCGCAATCCCCCGAAGAGCCTATTAGAGCTAATATGATGTCAGGTATTCCTGGTGTCGGAAAGACAATGACTGCAGAAGCTCTCGCGCGTGAAATGCGACGACGACTGCTCCGTATTGACGCCGCAGATTTCCAATACAATAATCCAAGTCAAGTCAGCTTGGTGTTCAAGAAGTTCTTCCACTTGGCACATTCATGGGGTGCCATCCTTCTTCTGTAAGACGACTTATGAAACCGCCCTGTGAGGAGAATGCTAACTTTATGGTTGTAAAGCGACGAGGCAGATGTCTTCCTTCAGCTTCGACGGCGGGCAGAACTTGAGCAAAACGCACTTGTTTCAGGTATGAATTTCGAGACTTGATGATATTCCCACTAACATGGCCACAGTTTTGCTGCGAGAGTTGGAGTACTTCCAAGGAGTCTTGATAATGACGACAAATCGAATTCTTTCAATAGACAATGCTGTGCAGTCCCGCATCAACTACGCCGTCCGGTTCCCCAATTCATTCGATATGGATAGCATTAGCAAGATCTGGAAGACATTCATGGATCAGCTCAATGATGACAACTGCCGACCGCACGATAGGTCAAACATAGAGTATTATTTCAAGACAGCAGGCTCCGTCTTGCAAGCGAACAAGTTCACCGGACGAGATATCCGCAATATCTTCATCACGGCCCAACTGCTGGACTATCCCTGGTTGACTTTCGGCAATCTCATGAAAGTTATCAACTCAACGAGCAAGTTCAGATCTGATCTAGCAAAGACATCGCAACAGCAAGAGATGGCCAATGCTGTCACGGATCATGATCGAGTGTGATTTGATGTGAGATGTCGATGAAGCATTGTCACAAGTGGTGATCACATTCAGGCGGTGAGACGCTGTGGCGTGGGCTGAGTTCCCTGCAGGATCCTTGCCAGAGCCACAAACTTGAGCGCGAGGGCTGGCAACTTATCGTGACAATAAGGTGGTGTCTAAATGGCTAGATCGGCGTTTGGGGGCTGTGCCTCTTGGAAGGATCTAGGGTCCGCTTCCTGCAAAAGTACTTTAGGTAATAAAAAACCAGCCACAAATGGGGGCTCCTGCAGTTCAGAAACGCTCGACAGGAGTAAAGCCCACAATTTGAAACCCAACAGGAACATGAGCGGAGAAACACCGTACAGAAAGGGTGGAGTAATTTCTTGGGGACCGGGCTGGCAGTGCAATGTGAAGAGAGGGTTCGACTTGTTGATGCAGCCGCTAGTCCTAAGGCAAGTTGTTGCCTGCTAAATAATAACAAGATCGCACGGTCACCAACAGAACGCGAGATAACTGCCCTATCCAGGATGATTTAAAATAGACACACCAAGCTCATCTGAGGTGTTGGGGCTCCCCTGCATTGTAGTGCCGAGGTCTTTCGTAAGGGATTAAGGTTACTTTTAGGTGCTTCCCAGGCGTCTGTGCACGTTGATCTAGGCGGTCGATCAGTCGCGAACCACGACATGACTCCCAATCATCATCAGTTGCTATGCTGTGCCGCATCCCGAGACTAGAGTGGCTGCCTTGTCGCAACCTGGAGAGCACATGTATAAATCACACATACCCTCGTCGCCACTTACTCTTCTGGGCTGAAAGTCTTTGGATTGCATTTGCTGTCTGTCATATTGAATTATTGGTCGTTGAAACAAGCGGTTGGGCTCTTTCGTAGTCAAGCCCCGAGTCTGAGCCGTCCGTGTCACCTTACACCTTGCTGCAATTCGGCACACCTCACTACAAACACGCATTGCGCCTGGACTGTTCCTCTAATCCACCAAAATGTTGTCTGGGATTGCAATCGGTGTTCGCGCCGTACATGTATGTGAAATATCTTGCCAAGGTAAACCTTGGTCGCGTATGGCTGTCTGACCTACCTTTAGGCCTTGCTCGCCATTATTGTGCTTGGCCTTTCGGTCACACTGATGAAGGGCCAGGAGATTGGCAGTGTCCCAACCACTACAAGATACAGCGTTTTTCTCGGCGCTTACGGCATAATCGTCACTATCATTGGTCTACTTGGTCTATTCTTTGAGTTCATTCCAAATTTGATCACCATGGGGTTCGACGCTGCCGGAGCATTGCTGTTCCTCGGTGGCGGTATTGTGAGTCGTCTGTGGTGGCACTAAAATTATATGTGCTAATTATACCAATAGGCATGGGCCATCGGTACAAAGGGCCTCTCCTGTACCAACAAGAACTCCCCGAACATCGACCATCTATACACAAATTCGCTATTGAACGAGGGCTGCCTGCCGAAGAAAGACAACAACAATCCATACCCATACTGTGCCGTGATGGGAGACTCCGATGACAACGACACTATCGAGAAAGCGTTTGGAGCGTTGAAGAGCAATTGTCAAAAGGCATTTGCTGACGAGATTATCATGTTCATAACGTTCGCTCTGGCTACTGTTCTAGTATTGCTAGGTTTCTTGTTGTTTAAGAAGCGAGGCTCACGATCGTCATATGTCGCTTGATCCTTCACATCTTATGTTCTGCTCCTTTCGATTTCGAAGTTCATAATGGAACAACTCGACATGATTTCCTAGATTAATAATTTGATTTCAAAGCGGAAGGGAATTCTTTTATCTTGATACCTACACCTCGGTGCTATTCTATTTCTTCGTTCCACACCTTTCTGACATACAATCCGAATCTCATTATGGAAGGTTCCCTGTCTCAATGAGTGGGCCAATGATACTGTAGCTCCAACCAGTATAGCGAGTTTGCGTGGGTATGCTAGGGGAGCTTAGGAGGGTATTACAAAGGCGTTTTTCGAACCCTTCTGCCAGCTGATTCAAGTTACCAAGACGATCAAATTGAAACTCAATAATATAAATCTTTGCTTCTAGACCCCCATCATATAATAAATCGAAATCATACTTACCCCGTCTACGTTTTTGAAGTTAATTACTACTACTACTACATCTCTAGTACCGTAGTGCGGCAAGAACCCCATCGATGCCAAACGGCAGGTTGCCTCTGTCTTGCGTATAGCCCCAAGTAGTACATGCTGTCACGCACAATTGACAACAGCCGCATCCCGGTCTGTTGCAGCCCATTAAATAAATAGAATGCTGATTGGATCGTAATTTCAGAAATAGCTACTCAGCTGTCTTTATGACGAGATTACGTACTAGTGGCTTAGGGGAACCTCCTGCCAGAAACCCCCTCTCGGAGGTGGCACAGCAAGATCGTGATGTCTTCGGCCACTTTTGGAAAATTCTCTTGTAGAACGCTAGCGGATCCCAATGCCTGAGCCTGTTCCACCTCCTGTTGACGAATCTCTGTGGGTCTGCTTCAATTTCCTCCCATTTTGTCTTAGCGACTGCATCGCGATTCAACCGTCCGCTTTCATGTACCGCATTTGAGCGATGATATTGGATTCTTTGTGTGGCCTCGAAAGCTAATCTGACGTTTCCACCAGACTCTTGAAGGCAATAGGCAACCGTGACAGCGTCTTCGAGTGCTTGAGACGCCCCCTGACCGGCGGTGGGAAGGTTTGCATGTGCGGCGTCGCCAATAAGGATGGTTCGGCCTCCGTTGCTTGTCCATTTATCAAGAACCGGACTATACACAAGCTTGAAGTCTATGGTTTTGCCGGGCGGTGTAATTTCCAGCAGTGTCCTGGCATCCTCGCCCGTGAATGGCTCCATCCACTTGGCTAGAAGTTCACGATCGGCAACATTTGACGTGACCCTTTATGCTTCGGATGATTCCTTGTCGTCCTAAGGAAGCGTTAGTCTTCACTACTCAAGAGCGAAATTTTTCGAAAGACAGAAAGAAAAGAAAGGCAATTTTCATGGCTGACTTACTGGGTGTATCAATGTCCAGGCAGTATCGTGGCCAGAATTCCAGATAAAACACATAAGAGACAAATTGTCGTATATGCAGAACCTGACCGTATCCTGGTCGTCACGGATAAGTCCATGGGCTGCAAGCTGATTACGCGCATTTTCATCGAGAGTGAAAAATGTCCTGAATGTGGCCCAACTGTTATCCCGGTTCACATCCTCTACACCTAGGACCGTTTGCCTTGCAATGGATCTTGCCCCGTCGGGGGCAATGACATAGTCCGCCCAGACGGTCTCACCTGTCGACAAAACCACACCTGCCTGATTCTGGTTCTCCACATATTGAGTCACGCCAACGCCGATGTTCAGTTCCGGCACGATGATTTTGGCGTAAGCGAGAATGTTGGAATGGAGCTTTCCTCGATGTCCAGCATAGGTGAGGTCGTGCTCTCTCTCGTTTCTAGCCCAGCCTGACTCTGCCAGATATTTGCCGTCGTATTTGTATATCTCCATGGATCTGATCTTGTCACAGCCTGTTCTGTGATTTTCCTCGCCTACTTTTCCATCATTCCAGCGCTTAATGATGCTCCCAGCGTTAGGGAAAACATCGAGTATATCTGCACAACTTGTAAGCGCTTGTTCACGATCAGTGTCGTATTGAAGCCAATGCATTCATCCCTGTCGGGTCTTCGTAGTCACATGTACAAGGACTGGGACATTTGAATACCTCCTTGATTGTTCGAATCAGGTTACTTCTCGTACAGACGTACGTGCATGCCACGCATTACACATTCGATAGCTGCACCGAGACCACCGAACCCTGCTCCAACGATGATGAGGCTGAGGGACTTGTCGGACGCCGTCATTGTGTTCTTTTACCCGACGAAAGGTTGAAGGGCCGATTCATGCCTATCCGTGATTAAAAATAAGATATTGTTGCGACTGCTTAAATTAGTTAAACCTAGAGATGTTCATCGTGGTGTCTAAACGGGGCTCTTTGTACCTGCTTTGCATGCCTGTTCCGATCCTCAGCTAGTATCGGAGCTATTCCAAAACAACCCAATTAGCGCCACCGGATGCGATAGGGATTGTGTCGATTGTCCATGAGAGGTCCTACTTTGCCCCTGGGGACTTTCTGCTCGGTGGACCTGAACTAAGATTATAGCTCGGACGCGCCGGCCGCCACGTCCGACCCCGAGTTAGATTGAGTGGTCGGACCATAGAGGGATGCAAATCGTGCCATGGAGACCGGTCAGATTTGAATAGCATAGCTTCCTGTGTAACCCATATTCCCGTATAGTGTCTAGCTACACCAAGTCTCACGGGCCTCTCCGAAGAAGCGTTATCTTGGGCAGACACTTCAAATCTGCTGCTAGAAACGGCCGAGTGAAGCGTATAGTGCTATGTGTCGCATATCCGGCACTATCTGTCATCTCCCCTGAAATTTTCAACAGCTTACGGACTTTTTAAAGATCACTCATGGGTTAGCCTAGGAGTCTTATCTCTTAGTAGTCTCAACCACTTAGTTGAGGCCACTATATCGCCCTTGGAATATTTTCTTTTAAACCTTAGATGTCTAGGTCTTAATCACAATGGTTGAAACGTGTCGAAAAAGACAAGCATAGACGAGGACTTTCGAAGAGGAGAAGTATCGTGGATAGATTATGTTACAGAGTGCTTCTCAAGGAGATATCAGTTGTGACAAGCTGTAGAGCGC